TGGTGTGGTTCTTTGGGAGCTGGAGGCACTGGAGCGTAGGTCTTGGTTGCTGCCGAACCGCTGTTGTTGGTATTTGCGTTCGGCAAAGGAGGTCATGCGCACAATGTTGCTGGTCATGCTGCTGGCCTGCGAGTACGTGCTGAGACAGGGGCTGGAGGGACCGCTGCCATTGTTCATGTCTTTGTCCTCGTGCTCTTTAACATTCATGTCATCTTTGAGTTTAGCTGATTCTTCTTCGTCTTTCCCATTGAAAGCTTTGCGGGGCCAGTTGGCCTCTTTAGTTGGAACAGCTTCATCCAAATCCTCTTCTACCTCATCTAGGTCTTGCAGCTCAGCATCCAGATCCTGGACTGGTGATGGCTGGTCCGTGTCTACATGTAGGTAGAACCCTCCAGCGGGCTCTATCGAAGAGGTGGACGTTGATGTGGGCCTAAATCCTGCAGGACCATGAGGTGGCTCCTCTGAATCTGCCTCCTCACGTGAAGGGGTAAATGTCTGGTTTAGGTTGGAGGGTGTTTTTTTACGGACAACTGATGCAGATCCATCTCCTCGCTGTAAGAAGTCGCGTCCTGAAGACCGGGGTCCCTCCCCGCTCTCCTCCTCCTTGTTTAGACAAACAGACTTTTCTTTAGCAGTTTTCAGCTGGGCAGGCATCAGTGGTTCTAGGTAAAAACTATCTGAGGCAGCTTTGGGCTCAGTGTACGGTTTGGATCCTCCTGCCGCAGCTATTCGGGTTGCGTCAGTCTGTTTAGGCACGGCAACACAATCGGCCCTGGCTGCTGCCACCAGAGTATCGTCCTCGTCTTCGACGTTTCCCAGCAGGCTGTGACCGTTGACTTTACGCACTGTGCCCTGTAAGCACTGGTGGACGGTGGCCTGGTGTTTCAGGGTGCTGTTAGTAATGTTGGACACCAGACTGTCCTTACTTATGGAGCGGGCAAGACTGACACTGTCACCAGAGGCCATGTCAGCATCATTGTCTGTGGCTGTAACATGTAACATGAAGGGGCTGAGTGTGGACACTGGTCTGAAGAGACAGGGGGAGTGAAAGAGAGACAGACCGTTAGGTCTGTGGGAGGGGACACTACCAGATATTAGTCTCTAAACAAAAGTTTCATTTTTAATATAAATCAAATTAAAGGCAATAATGTATCCATAACCTTTTTTATTTTGGTCTTTTTTTGGCAACATTAGTGACACTATCATGTAAATAAAATCTGAAGGTCCCTGCCGTCATAACTACCTCTGCCTCTTGTCCGGCCATGCAGTAACGTATGCTCGTGGTTGACCATCCACCTGTGTCAGGGAGTTTGAACGGTTTCTCAGGCCTGACCAGAAATACAGGAGTGATTAAAAGGTAAAAAAGAAGTTCAGCAATACACTGTATCTAATGATTGAGTAAATTTACAATAGATGTTCTGTTTATAAAAAAAAAGGGAGGAGGTGCTTACCAGCAGATTCATCTCCTTGCTGCCTCTGTTGCCTCTGTCCCACGGGCAGCAGTGGGTGGGAGGGGCTGAAGGTTGGACCACCTTTACTGAAGAGCAAAAAGAAAGGAATGAGCCCATACAAAATTAGTCAACAAAATATATATATACATACACAAGTCAAAATGAGGCTCAGTAGTGTGTGTGGCCTCCGCGTGCCTTTATGACCTCCCTACAACGCCTGGGCATGCTCCTGATGAGGTGGCGGATGTTCTCCTGAGGGATCTCCTCCCAGACCTGGACTAAAGCATCCGCCAACTCCTGGACAGTCTGTGGTGCAACTTGGCGTTGGTGGATGGAGCGAGACATGATGTCCCAGACGTGCTCAATTGGATTCAGGTCTGGGGAACGGGCAGGCCAGCCCATAACATCAATGCCTTTGTGTTGCATCAGGAGGAACCCAGGGCCAACCGCATCAGCATATGGTCTCATGCCACCCCACACCC